TTTATGGAACTTCATGTAAAAGCCAGAAAATAATATTTTATTTGCATTGTAGCTGATAAAAATATATAGCAAATTGTGCCTCCTCCCAACAGGGAAAAAACCACCAACAATCAAGAATTCATTTGGTATATGGTTTCATGACTCTGCCCAGAGTATTTTGTTGAGTGTTTAAAAAATGGTCAAAGCATTTTGTCACCAAAAATCATTCCATCTGCTGACACAGAGAAAGTTGCAGCCAAATTAGTACTCAACATCAACCCAGAGTGGATGAAAACAGCACACAAGGGTTAAGCTGCATTTGCGGTGAGAAATGGGAACTCAAAAGGTCAACTGAGGAATTTTTCTATATACCTCTACAATAAAAGCTCCTGTTTTATAAAAGCATAATAGGGGGGTGAGAGGTTAAGAGTGTATTGTAAAAAAATCATGTTATTTTTCTCCTATATCTTACTTTGGTTATATACTGCTACTCGACTAACTAAATGACTGTCACATTTCCTGGTTTCTCTGATTGTTCAGCTAACATAATGTGCTGTGATTCATGGATCGGCTCCATGTCAACAGAAAAGATGTCACACCTCTAATAGCACGTGCTTTGCATCTGCTGTGCAAATACTGTCAGTCAGAGGAGCTGTTAGCCATTACAGTTTGAGCCTGACAAAAATAGAAAATGAAAAGGGCACCTTATGCCTGCTCTTGTGTCGTTCAAATAAATTTGGAATAAGCATGTGTAAGCAATATGAAACGTTCACATTTCTTTTGGTTATGAATATCGTTGGTTATTTGAGATGTAGAATGCAGGGAAAGTGTCCGCAAAGAGAGACACTGCAGCACTGCTGAAGATGATGGCTATTTACAACGGTTTGACTGTTAGATATGCCATGTAGCTAAATTGTTAGTGGTGGCAAACAGCATTTCCTGTTGTTTACATCACCGCTACAACATACTGTTAACGCTAGAAACTGTGCATGTAATGGATCAATTTTAATAAATAAAAACCCTGACAGGTTGTGGCTCACAATTTACAGCTTAATCTATTATGGTTGGAGCTGCTCCTTCTTTGAGGAGTTGTTAGCTGAATCCAGCACTGAATGAGAGAGATTCTGGAAGCTGTCCTTTGTCAAATTCTAGAGCTATATCTTTATTGTAATTCCCTGAAACATAATTAAAATTAAATTGTAAGCACTTCTCGCTTTGTGTCGTGTCATTTGGAAGCTCATTTACAGTCACCATTTTAGCTTTCTATGCTGTAACATACAGCGCCTCTGGCCACGCACCTTTGCTGCACGGGTGTATGAGCATGACCTGGAGCATTTGTGATCTCACTATCCTGGATGTATTTTTTTTAGTCTCCAAACTTTATTTGCTGTAGGCTTTAAAGGTGTAACTCTGTAATGTATAATCTTTGAGTGTATTACATTCAGAGATGTTGTTTATGTTCACACAACTACTAATCACATCAACTAAAGTTTAACATATGATTTCATAGTGGACCACCACTTTAATAAAAATTCTTACATGTTGAATACAGATTCGATTTCCGCCACTGGCTGTGAGCTAATTTCTATTTTTTTTTTTGACAACAAAGCACTTGAACAAGAAAAGCTCATAATCACAGTTTTGTATTTTCCAGCAGCACATGAAGACAGCATAACTAACAACTGCTTACTTAGATCCATGAGAAAAAAAAATATATTTATTAAGCACATTTAAGTACATACTATTTCAAAATAGGCACTTGAAATGAAATATCAACTGTCTGTTCATATAATCATCTCTGGCATTTCAAAACCTCTTAACTAAGTGTTTTCTCTGGGTGTTATTTCACTTTTATTCAGTAAATGCACACCTGGAAGCTATAATGTTGCAGGCGTATTTCAGATATGAATCACACTCAAATCCTCAAAAATGAAAAGTATTTTGTCACCGGATGAGCATAGTGAAGTTTATGCTGGTGACCTCGGATTTTATCTTTTTTTTTATTGCATATGGAGCCAAGGAAACAAGAAGTTTGTGTTTAGTTAATTTGGCATGAATTATTTTTTAATGTTTATAAACACAGTGCTAACCAATAAACCCTTGTTCTAGTTTCATAGCAGGTAATGTATATCATTTGGTGAACATTAATTAGCATTAAAGCTCAGCAAGTGAACTACCACCCACATACAAATGATACAATCTTTAGACATCCAGGCCAAGAGGAAAAAAAAAAAAATCGAAAGCTCACAATAAAAATCACTTTGGCCATCAAATATGTTTTACACAACACAAGAGCCTAAACATGTGATATTTATGTATTCTTGCCTGCTATTTAAATGTGTTGAAAGCTGCTGAAAATCACAGCATTTACAGTACTATAACTGCATGCATTTCACACCTCACAAATAAAAACTATTCTTCTTAAGCCATTCAGTACAAACATCAATAAACTGTGTATGTTTTCAGGGAAACATTTTTTTCTAAGCATATTCAAAGGCTTCTTCTTGGCTGCATGATTTGTCTTGTAAAATGGCTTCAAAAATGCCCTTGGAGTAAAAAAAAATAAATAAATAAAAAACATGAAAAAGCATGCACACACAGGACATCTGGAAAGTATTAACATTGCTTTCATTTTCCATGTTTACAGCCTTATTCTAAAATGAATTGCATTTTTAACTTTCCTCTAAATTCTACAAACCTTACCCCATAATGACAACTTAAAAAAGTTATAATAATAAATATTATGAATAATAATAATAATTATTATTATTATTATTATTATAAAATAATAAATAAATATTAAACATTCATAAATAATTAATAATAAATATAGACGTAATGCCACGACAATCTAAATTGTGCTCAGGTGTGTGTGGTTTACACTAATCATCTTTGAGGTGTTGATAACTTGAGTCTACACTGTAGGAAAAAAATGCTTAAATGTTTTTGTCTTGTATGTTTATACACACACACAAGATTGCGTGCGTGTGTGTTTGTGTGTCTTTGTGTGTGTATATATTTTATTTTATCTTTATTTTTTTTGGTGTTTTGCCTTACCCCAGGGACAGAACATTTTGCTTGTTGTGAGTAAAACAATCGTGTTTAATTTTTAAAATAGATTTATTGAAATATGTACTGATTATCGGTTAAACCCAATGTACTGCCATGTTCTGTACTTTGTGACTGCTGGGATGCAATAGAGATTTCTTTACTGTACTCATTTTCTTCTTAAACTCATACACTCGCCTGTGTGTCTGTGTGTGTGTGCGTGCGTGCGTGCGTGCATGCGTAGGCAGGTTCAGTGAAACCTTCTATATTTTCCATAAAAGTGTTGTTATAAAAATAGCAAATATGGCAAAAGGTCTGTATTAATGCGGTTATTCATTATCTCTTGATGAGACATATTTAGAAAAATGGCTGTATGGCTGCTAAGGTTAAGGATAGAAGGGATTTTACATACAACAAATGTAGTTCAGTCTAATAATAGTTTGCATAGCAAAAATATTGTCAGGTCAGCTCTAAAGAATCTTTTAATAACATATTCAGGATTGTAGTGGAACGTCAAAATACTAATGTATTATAATAATACTCTTTAAAAAAAACTAATAATTGTCATCATGATATTTACCAGTTTTAAATATTAATTCAGTATAGTCACTTTTTTATTTTATATATTTTAAAAAGAATGAGTCAAGGTTTTGTTTCCAAACCTACATTTACATCGATTTATACACACACATACAGTTGAAGTCAGAATTATTAGCCCTCCTGTGATTTTTCTTTTTTAAATATTTCCCAAGAACAAGTCATCATGTTATCACTGTGATCACTGTCATCCTGGCAAAGATAAAATAAATCAGTTAATATAAATTATTTATCAAGAGTATTATGTTTAGATATGTGTTAAAACATTTTGTTTGTAAACAGTAATAGGGGGAAAAGTATACAGGGGGGCTAATAAATCTGACTTCTGACAACTACACTTTCTGTATATAAAAAAGGTCTTCTGTAATTGTAATTGAATGCAGACAGCAGAATGGGATGTTTCATCTTTGTGGTATTTTGTTGCAAATACATCTGCTACTGTACTTAAAAAATAATAAAATGAAAATAGCAAAATTAGTCATATGCCATGCTCTCTAGCGGAAGTAAACATCACCATCCATTGAAAGCTGAACACGGTGTTCTAAAAGCCCACTTGTGATGCAATCCTTGAAGATAGGAATAACATGCTGCAGGTTGTTTTGCTGTTTCGGGGTCTGAACAGTGCAGGCGAGCAATCAATTACAAACTATAGCAAGAAAATCAACACTCGACGTCTTACTGTGATCCAACATCACAACAGAAAAAGAGTGAGTCATGAAATACGGCAATTATATAAAACACAATCATTCAAACACAGAAAAGGTAATGTTTACCAGTCACATCAGTGTCCAGGTCATTGAAGTCCCGTCAACTGAACTGTTGAAATCACATAATCAAGCAATTGAGGTTTTCAGGCTTTGTTTAATGATATTTAACACAATCAACTAATTTTATTCCCATCTGTGTGGAGATTCATTTCCTCAATCATTAGTTCCAGTCGAAATCAAACAAAAAGGTTAAATGGCTGTTTCTTCTTTATAGCCAGACTCTCAAACTACTTTTTAATTCACAACAAATTAAATAGATCATTTCACATACAGCTATTGCCAAACAAGTGTGGCGTGCCAGAGCTATAGGGAGCCACGTTATTTGTTGAACACTCCAAATGTGCACAAAATGTCACAATCGGAGCTGAGAGCTGTTGTTAGCTTATCGCAGGATTACTGCCACCTTTGCCGCTCCGCAAGAGTAATTACCTGAGAAAAACCAATTAAATTTGCATTGTAATAAAGCCAAGATTACAAACGTAATTAATTTTCAATTATGAGGAAGCACCAACAAAATGATTACACAAGAACGGGCAACTACCTCAGTAACGAGACACATTTAGGCATCAATTTAAAGACATTCTGCATAAATTTGAAGCACACAAGCAGTTCTTGGTTAAATTTGCTTTATTGTGATTCATTTTGTCTGTTCAATAGCCACAATGTATTTGTCCTGTAAATTTACAAAAAGTCTTCTGTACATGCATTGTAACAGGCAAAACACATTTAAAGGCACAGTTCACCTGAAAATGATCATTTTATTTATTCACCTTCAAGTTTTTCCAAACCTGTATGAATTGTTGAATTTAAAATTATATTTTGAAGAAAGAAAAGGCTGCTTCTGGTCCCCATTTGTATGAAAAGTTGACTCAAATTAACTATACAAGTTATTTCAACATTACCTTTAATGTATCAAGACTTGTTTAACTTAATATAGACAATTTTGAGGCATGTGAACAAAAGCAATGGTCCAAAAAGAGCCACATATTGATAAATAATGTTATGCAAGTGGTTTTAACATTAAGTTATGATTATATTGCCTCTTCTTACAGTTATGAAATAGTTTGATAACAAGCAGGAAATGTTCATGGGCTACTGAGATGGCCAAATTAAAATGGTTCTATAGCATAACTGATGTCTCTTAATGAAATATCAAGTTGAAACCCAATAAAGGTTTTTGCAATGAAAAACCAAAATACATACAACATTTATTGTGGACTATGGGACTCGCCATTATTGTAGGTGGGCAGTGTGTTACGTCAAATAGATTCACTGGGTGAGCCACTGCCTGCTGCTGATTTAACAACTTTGGAAGTAAAATACTGATAAGATGCCACATTGTGCCGCTCTTGGTTTTTATTTTTTAGTCAAAGGTATGCTGGTCTTAATTACCATCAATTTTGTAGTAACTTTATAATGTTTAAGGCCGTTCCACATTTGTGAAAAAAAAGTTTAATCAAATTAACTATACAAGTTATTTTAACATTACCTTTAATGTATCAAGACGCAATAGACCATTTTGAGGGATGTAAACAAAAACAATGGTCCCAACATATTTCCTGTTTGACATTTTTAATTTCTAGAGAATACAACTTCAGAGAATACAAAAAGAGCCACAAATTGATAAATACTGTTATGACAGCTGTTTTAACATTGGTGTATGACTAAATTGCCTCTTGCCTTACTGAACATATTGATTGATAACATAAATGATGTCTCTTAATGAAATATGAAGTCGAAACCCAATCGAAGATTTACGTTATAAAAATACAAAATACATACCACATTTACTGTGGACTATGGGGGTAGCTATTATTTTTTTAGGTGCGCAGTGTGTTACGTCAAATAGATCCACTGCGTGGGCTTCTGCTTGCTGCTATTTTAACAACTCTGAAAGTAAAATACTGATACGATGAAACATTGTACCCCTATTGATTTCCATTTTCAGTCAATATATATATATATTTTTTTTTTAAATTTTCAGTCTTTTTACTATCAACTTTGTTATAATGTTGAATGCTTCTAGATAACAAGTGAAAAACCCTGTTAAAAAAATGACAGAGAAAAAAAATAAATAAAACGCTAGGATGGGATGCCAAAATCCCAGATCCTGGAGGGCTGATGTTCTGTGCCCTATTCTGTCCTAAATAGTCAGTAGAAAAAGTCTGTATGTTCTAAATTGTAGTATGTTGAGAAGAGTTAGCCAAGGTTCCTGGATGGTTTACTATTTTCGGTAGAAACTCAAACTTGTTTCACAATTCCAAGAACACAGAGAACAGACTTGCGTTCTTGTAAACACCGGTCTTGCTAGGTCATCTTGGATAAAAATAAAACAGATTTTAATATTTTGCAATAACTTCAGGAACTTCTTAAGTGAGTTCAGTGATCAAGTCTGCAACGGTGCATCCTTGATACCAAGAACAAATCCGGGAACCTTTTACGCATCTTCTGTTCTTGCGGGTTGAGTTTTGGAACTGAACTTTGGCAGTTGATGCAACTCTTAAGTTGATAATACTCTAACCCAGGGGTCACCAAACTTGTTCCTGGAGGGCCGGTGTCCTGCAGATTTTAGCTCCAACCCTAATCAAACCCATCTGAACAAGCTAATCAAGGTCTTACTAGGTATACTTGAAACATCCAGGCAGGTGTGTTAAGGCAAGTTAGAGCTAAACCTTGGAGGGACAACGGCCCTCTAGGACCGAGTTTGGTAACCCCCGCTCTAACCGCTAATATTTCCTACAATTGAGCATTGGATGTGAATTCTATAAGAACGACAAACACAAGTGAAATGTGTAAATAAACTACAAACATGGCGTCTGATATAGATCAACCGTCAAGTAGAGAGTCTACGGTAAAAATGTTTGTACTACTGTTAATTAATATCTAGCCTACTGTAACATCTTTCAATCACATTTTTGTGTTAGATTTCATCTGCAACAACAGCTTAAACTTTTAAAAAGAAGTGTTTGGACATTAACGTCTGAATGCATAATTATCCAAAGACCTGAGGAGATTTCTCTACATGAAAAACTCACAAACAGCAGATGATCCTGCTACTGCTTCTCGAATGAAGTAGGAAATTAAATATGACAGAGAGGAAGTTGGAGCTAGGAGCTGCAGAAGACCGGTTCTCCAGGACTAAGCTTAGGCACTCCTACAGTAGACAATAAACATGCTGACACTTATTAACATTCGTCTTCATGGCTGCATTAATCATGCATTGAAAACTGGACACTTATTGACCAAAGGGAAACTGACCAGTCTCGACGACTAATCTCTCCATGAACAAGCTAGAACTTTCTGTTTCAGTGACTTACAAATAATTGAATGTTCACCTCCTGTCAATTCTCTGTGTGAATCGTATTCAATATCAGAGAGCATTTAGACTCTTTGCACCCTTTCATAAATCTGGTGCAATACAGACTCTTTTTTTTAGATTTTCATCCAGCCACAGGTATAAGATTCTGTTCAAATAGCAAATGCATTTGCACCCATTTGTGCGCTCATGGACATTCTGTCCTGAAAAGGAGGTGCGTTAAGGGCTTACAGCACTTTGTTAGTGCCTTGCTGTTTTGAGGCAGCTGAAATAGATCATGCCAATGAACAACTAAAAGCTGGTTTAAAGTCAACGCCACAGGTTTTTGTTGTTATTTAAAGAGAGTGTGAAGTGATATGTACCTGTACACTGAAGAAAATGGTTCAAAGATGATTCCTCGGATTTACTAAAAAAAATTAAGTGGTTGAAAACAATTTATTTGGGCTGAAATAAAACAACTAAATTAAGTTAAACATTACTACATTCATCACGATCAACATCATCAGGGCCAGGGCCGGGTCGTGGGGGCAGCAGTCTCAGGAGAGAACTCCAGATTTCTCCAGCTGACTGCTCTTGATGTGAAGGAGCAGTGGCTCTACTTTAAGGTTCCTCTCGGGTGACAGAACACCTCACCCTGTCTATAAGGATGCACCCTTCCACCCTGCGAAGGAAACTAATTTCAGCCACTTGTATTGAGATCTTGACCTTTCGGTCATGACCCAAAGCTCATGACCATAGGAACGTAGATTGACTGGTAAATCGAGAGCTTTGCCATTTGGCTCAGCTCCTTCTTCACCACAACGGACAGGTACATCGACCGCATTACTGCTGCCGCTGCACCAATCCGCTTGTCAATCTCACGCTTCATCCTTCCTTCACTCATAAACAAAACCCCAGGATACTTAAACTCCTCCATCTGGGGTAAGGACTATCCTCAAACCTGGAGATGGCAAACCACTTTTTTCTGGTGGAGCACCATGGCCTCGGACTTACCACCACCTTATCATGGTGGAGGGGTTTTGAGTGCCTGAGTGATCCTAAGAGCACAAAGGCACAAGGCACAAAAGTCTTAGGTAACATGTCCGACTAAGTGTGGTCCAAAAACCCCTTGTGAACTTAATAACATGGAGTACGGTGGCGTCGCCCGGTATTGCACAGCTGGGGCCCCATCCTGGAGTTTGGGCTCGTATGCAAGTGCCTGGTGGCCTGTTTTTTTTCCCACGGAACATGGCAAGGCTTAGCCCGAAGGAGCGACGTGGGATCATCCTCCTTCCTGCGGGCCCACCAGCCACTGGGGGAGTTGTAAGGGAATGGTGCACTGTGGAAGGGGTGGTGGTCGAAGGTTAGGACCACGACAACCCGATCGACGGGCATTACTACATTTAATTTGTTTTTTTAAATTCAACCCACATAAATTGTTTACAACAATCGTGGAAAAATCCTTTCTTTCAGCGTACGAAGCTCCACATCAAGCCTACACGTTACTGATTACACACAGGGACACTCAAACATCTTTAAATTTAAAAAATAAATAAAATATTAAAATATAAAAGATTATTATTGTTAACATAAAAAAACTATGCCTTGGGGAGCTTTGGTCGAATATTTAGTAGGTGGTCTGTTCGTGCATTTTAACCTTTATTTCCTTTTTTAGTGAAGCATTCTGTTTACGAAATCTGCCAGGTAAATAACGAATGCGCAATGACGCTACAGCAAATCACTCTTAAAGGGAATGAGAGATACGACTCTGATTGGTTTAATGCCAGTTACACAGAAAACACATTTTATAACTCATAGAGAGAATAAGCACAACACTTTCAGACCCTGCGCCAGATACACTGACCATTTTCCTTACACTGATGGTTTAAATGTACACTTATATCTATCTCCACCAGTGCACTCCTTCAATAAATCATTTCTCATCTTTTTCTCTATTACTATAGGTGAACTGTAAAGACATACATTGCTTCACTTTTTGCTGTCGTTTATATGAAAGTTACAACCAAAAGCCATAATATGTGGCATCGTTTTGATACTTTGCATTCAGTTGTGCTATGTTGACAATACAATGTAAAAAAATGTTAGGTTCCACACAATTCCTTCATGTTGTCCTAATACACATCGATTAAAAAGGAGCTGTATGTAAGTTTTTGACTCTTCTAAAGCATAAAAATGCAAATATGTTTGCTGATATTTCAGAAACATGCTAAGTGAACATTCATGTCTATCTGTAAACCAATGCTGACGTCAGATATTCTGCTTTGAAATATGCATTACGTGCCTGAATGGCTGTCTTTGTTTTGGTTCTTTTAGCCTGCCCACTGCCCGGTTATTAATTAGCAAATAATATAAATATTACGAACATAAACATTAGGTGAGCGGGTTACATTGTAACAACATACTACGTGACAAAATTTGCAGTGATAAGCAATTTAGCTGTTTGCACCAGACGAAACAACAGAAATTTAAATACAGCCATTCAGAAGCACAGAATAGTGGACTCATTGCGCTCACTCTCGAAACGGTAAAGTTTATAATCTAATTATTACATATTTAACCTTTCTAACATTATTAAATGTAGATGCTAAATCACAAATATGTGTTGGTTTGCACTGAGTCACAGTTCTAAAGTTTAATTTCATACGGTTTATTTTATTTTCAAGATCTGAGGTGAACTATCTGCTGCTGCTTTCAGTAGTATGTCAATAAATGTGATGTGAAATGGCATTCAGACTCACATTATTAGCATTTAACACTGAATAAAGCACATGAGCTGATCATGTCATCAAGTTTTCAGTTCAGCTGCAAATACAAATTGCAGGTGTTGGTTGGACCAAAAATTCCTTTTAATAGGGAGAACATTCCTTCTATCATTTGCCGTTGCTTTTGCTTAGAACACGTTTAGTCTCAATAGTCTGGCAACCTGCACTTGCGTGTTTTGATCCAGGATGGCAATACCAAGTTCAACCACTGGGTGTCAAACTAACATACTGCACCTTGAAGTTGACTTAGTTTTTTTTTACAAATTTAAGTGTATCAAATATAAAACACTTAGGTTGTCCCATTGTGTTGTTTCAATTTTCAAAAAAAAAGTAAAAAAAAAATAATGGCAGCATCATAAACATTTTTAAAGCATCATTTGTCTTCACTGCATAGCAGAAAAAAAAATGATTCAGGGTTGTAATAAGTAAATGATGATCATTTTCAGGTAAACTATCACTTTAAGACAGAGATCATTTGACATAACATCATATTTTTTATCCATAATGTGTAATGTAAATAATCACTTGATAATACTATGAGCTGGCATCTTGATTTTGAGTCACGCTTTGGATGGACTCCTGACGGGATGAGCGCCGGGATCCTGACGGCACCTCCAACAGCGCCTGAACCGTCTGAGACACACGAGTGAGCCCCTCTTCCTCCAGAATCAGCTGCGCAGGACACAGTGTGTCCTAAGGGGATTTGTGAAGAAGAAGAAGAAAAAAAACAACACTAAAAGTTAGATTACGCACACAAAAAACTCAATAAACTCAATAAATAAGCAATAAACTGTACCACAGTGCATTTTCTTTTCTTTTTTTCTTTTTGCCTTTTTCTAGTCCAAACATCTAAACAATTTTAAATAAAGAAGCATTTCTTAATCAAGTAAAACAAAAGTTTTTTTTTCAGAAACAATATGTCAAAATGAAGTGAGATTAATAAGAAAATACAGTTAAAATACTAATAAAAAGGCAGTTTCACGTGTTTTTTTAATTGTTAACTTAATTGTTTGTTCAAATTTCAAGCTGTCCTAAAAAAAAATCTCCAGAATTGTGTTGTTTCAGCTTTTTTTAATTGAGTTGTTTGAACAAGCAGCAAAAATCTGCTTTTATTTAAGTAAATTTACTTTATTTACCACACTGGGAGATTAATACCCTTTTTTTTAAGGAACAATTTACAAGATTTTAATGCATTATTCCTTAAAACAAAACCTTTTAATAATATAATTCTTGATTTAATCATTTTTAGATGTTTGGACTAGAAACAAGAGAAAATCTTGTAAAAGTAGAAAACCACTGCATACACAAACAGCACCAGGATTATTGGCTCTTGCATTGCAGGCCCTAAAATCTCTGAAACTAAGAGGGTGGACGTGCAGTCTGGGTAAACAAGCAACTCTATAAAAAAGCTTTCCATGCACCTATGAGGATGGTTGAAGCATGAATCTCCCATCTGTCATCTTAAAAAAAGAGCCCAACATGCAAGACACTCCTCAGGTGTAGAAAGGATCGCATACACAAAGTGGCAACAAGAGGCACTTGTGACACACGGACATGGTTGCAGCGTAACTCTCCATCGCAAAATCGTTTCTTTGAATTGCTGGCTGTATGGCAGAGCGGCGGCGTTTAGGACACGGTCTCTCAGTGAAGCAGCCATGCAGTTATAACACTTCACAGGATGCTATTTCATCCCGGGGTGAAGTACAGCGAGTCAGCGAGCAGAACAAGCCAGCACTTCACCATCTTCAAAATCCATCATGCGTTCCAATTATTAAGATCAGTCAAGCCTAACGGTATACATGAACTATAGATTATGGATGAGCTGCTTTGATAAAAGGCTCTTATTGCCGTTTTCAGCCTAGATTTTACACATGCAGTATATAATATACAGTATATAAGCAAGCACACTGATTTAATACAAAAATAGCATAGAAGTACTGAAGTTTAAACAATGAAATTGATATAATGCAGTGTTTTTAACCCTCTATTGTGCTGTGCAACCTTAAGGTACACTAAGGTTCTATCATGTTGCTTCATGTTGTCCCAACACAAGTTGATGGTTAACTTAATTTCTACAAATTTAAGTGGATTGAACATAAAACAATTAGGTTGTCCCCAAGAAGAATTTGTTGATTTGGCTCATCTTCAATAAGAAGTTTGAATAAAGAGCAAAAATATATTTATTTAAATGTGTAACAACTCACTTTGTTGGTTTTCAGATAAATAATAATAAAATTAATATTAATAATAATAGTAATAATAAATATGTCATTGTTGATTTGAAATCATAAATCCGTCTTTTTGGGTAGTCGACAAATAGAAAAGCTTTTTTTCGTAAAACACCATTTTTGAAGAATTAAATTGTTTGATGTTTGAGAAAATATAAGTGGTCACTAACTTTATCAACTATTTCACTATGTAAAAAACTTTTGACTAGTGCTATCAAGCAATTACTGCAATTAATCACATCCAAAACAAAAGTTTATATTTACAAATATTTGTGCACACTGTGTACATTTTTGTGTCTATAAATATATGCATAACAATATTGTACAAAATGCTTGTTCAATTTTACACACACACACACACACACAAACACACACACACACACATATAATAATATATAAATATACTGTGAATATTTATGATGTAAATACTAGTTTTTTACATCAATGTGATTAATGACGATTAATTGTTTGATAGCACTACTTTTTACTGAATACCATTAAATGCCCAATGGTGTGACACATAGTAAAAACTGTTTTAATAAAAGAAACATAGTGTGAGGAAGTTTATCTTTATTGTTGCATACTTGTCTTCATATACTGCTGTTTTGTTTTGTTTATATATATATATATATATATATATATATATATATATATATATATTTGAATAAGGGTGTCATAACAAAACTTAACTTTGTACTGAGACAAAAACTTAAAGGGGGAACACCATCATAGGCATCTCATGGAGCTTCACTCACATGAGCCAAAATGAAGCGAGTTTTTTTTTTTTCCATAAAACAAGCAAAATAATCTAAAAAATGTTGTAAGCAAAACAATCTTACGTCAAAAGGAAGAAACAAGATATTTCTGTTTACCCCATTGGCAAGTTGTTTATTTTGTTTTAAAGAAAAACTCACTTAATTTTCCCATATTATTTATTAAAACAAGACGATATGTTATGCTTGTCTAGAATTTTTTTATTTTAATAATTTTTTTATTTAAGAATTTGTGGATATAGACAAAAAGAAACAACTAGAACCAAGACAAAAAAATCTAAGATCTTCTTTTTAAAGATTTTCATAGAATTGCCCGATTAAAATTTATAGTCGCACCAGAAGACATTGACATAGACAAGTGTCTATGTTTAAAAAATGTGTGGATGAATAAAATGGCAGGCATGTACAACTAGGCCTGAGTTATTTATTGACCATTGGCTTATTTCCTTTTTGAATATATTTATTGAACTATGCCTGAGACAGTCACATCACAGGAAAGTTTACAGATTTGGTTCAAAATGAAAAATAAAAATAAAAATCTAATAGCATCATGGCAGTTTTTATGACAAGAGGTCCATTGAAGGCAAAAAATTTTAACAATTCGCTGTATTTTAAATGATTAAATGCAATAATTATATTTGTCAATTTTATAAAAAATACACAGCTGAAGTCAGAACTATTAGCCCCCTTTAATTTTTTTTCTTTTTTAAATTTTCCCAAATTATGTTTAACAGAGCAAAGCAATTTTCACAGTATGTCTGATATTTTTTCTTCCGAAGAAAGTCTTATTTGTTTTATTTCGGCTAGAACAAAAGCATTTTTTTTTATTTTTTAGAAAACCAATTTAAGGTCAAAATTATTAGCCCCTTTAAGCTATATGTTTATTCAATAGTCTACAGAACAAACCATTGCAATACAATAACTTGCCTAATCACCCTAACCTAGTTTAGCCTTCAAATGTCACTTTAAGATGTATAGAAGTGTCTTGAAAAATAAAAACTAGTCAAATATTATTTACTGCCATCATGGCAAAGATAAAATATATCAGTTTTTAGAAAAGAGTTATTAAAACTATTATGTTTAGAAATGTGTTGGAAAAAAATCTTCTCTCTGTTAAACAGAAATTGGGGAAAAAATAAACGAGGGGGTTGGCTAATAATTCTCACTTAGACCCCCATATACTGTGTGTGTGTGTGTGTGTGTGTGTGTGTATATGTATATATATATATATATATATATATATATATATATACACACACACACACACACACACAGTATATGGGGGTCTACACATGCTCATGTAGCAATATTACATTTCTTCAGTATCTGGATTTCTACTGCATCTCTGGGAAGTTTAAATTAATCTTTGATGTTTATAGATTTTCACCTTTTCTAATACAGTTTACAATCTCATAACGAAAGTATTAATATAGTCATATAGCAAAAGGCACTGAAGCACTTCTTTATTGCTTTGGGCATCAAGTATCACTTAAATTATTGATTTTTTTTTTAGATGATTTTATTGTAATTATATTGAAGCAGAACTCAATTATGACAAGATTCATGGCTTCTGAAAAAACTAATCATATTATAGAGAAATGCTACAAAGTGTAGTGTAGTGTTCAACCGACTCCAGAAAAGTATTGCAAATGATAAGTGTGTAGTCATCCCAAATGCACAAAAGCATCAATTCGTTAAAAAAAAAAAAAAAAAAAAAAAAAAAATATATATATATATATATATATATATATATATATATATATATATATATATATATATATATATATATATAAACTAATTATAGAAGAGAAAAATTGAGGACAATTCTGAAATTAAAATT